TTCGCTTCACTGTATTTCGCTGTACGATGATGATGATAAGTGTCTGATGACTACCTTACTTATTCCTTGTTGTGGATTTTAAAATCTCCGATAACGGTCATTTGAGTGGCAGACGGTGAACGGTACAGAAATAATTGTTGAAATTAGGGAACCGAAGTTTCAACCACATTAGCTTGAATTCGCGTTTGGAGAAATCTAGAATGATGGATGTAGATACTGACGCTAGCTTTAGCAAGAAAAGAAGTATGGTGAAAGTTATTAATGAATTGAAGATAGGCTGTATCTAACGGGTGATAGATTTGTGTCTCGGTCAAAAATAGATCCAAAGGGGACGATTACTGGAGAGTTTGGTGTACAGAATTAACATTTCGATTTAAACCTTGGATGGTAATGAGAGCATTGGAGTTTTGTGAGTGTAGGTGGAGTGCGCATTCTCCGATTCGTGTGAGTTGTATTGTTCAGTTGAGATGTTGGAGAAGACCGGAAACCTAACCCCGAGACTTGGAGTGGTAAACTACATAAGGCATCAGTAGATTGAGGTACGAGGGCATGGTTTACTTTCCTGTCACTCCACGGGTTATATTGATGCTGTGGGATTCAAAGTAGCCACTGAAGCTTTTTTGCCGTTTTCCGTGATTTTCATTACATTTTATGTTGTGATGACCTGTTGATGGAAGTCACACTTTAGTCACGATAATCGATGCCACGTTTTTGCATTCCGATATGGTGCAATGAATTGGATCTGTTCACGGAGAAAAAGAATACCAAAGGATGCAACCGGTAGACAGATTCGCGGTCGCTTACTGATTCAACACAATTTCTATCTCATCTTCTTGAAATCTCCTTGCGATTTTCCGTTTCACGTATCAGGATTTTGGTTGTCGGTTTCCAAAATGGAACAATAGCCTCTCTTGGTCACGAGTTCAGTCAATTTCTCATTCAATATACTTGGGTGCCTATTACTCGAATGAATCCTTTGACGAATAACTTGTGTTTCTAAACTGCTAGCATGTGAGCCACAATACTCTCGAGCATCACAAATCTTTGGCCTTATCAACTACGATTTTCCGAGTTATCGTGTGCCCTATCCCCATCTAGTTCGTTGAAAACAAATCGGAACCTGTGTATACCCTAGACCGGTAATTGGTGCAACACATCTTCATGGCATGGCTGTATTCACAAATTGAATTTTCTAGTGACTTCATTTTGAAGAATTCAAATAGGTTCTTCAGGTTTTTACCACTCTCCTGTTTAGCAGGTATTACAACAAACAGAACAAGCAATAAATAATCGGGTTCACTCTTAGTGCTTATTGCTTAAAAAAGTCTAAACTCAATGTATGTCTGTCTCGCTTCAAATTGCCATTCATGAGCACTAATGTGCGGGATAATCACGCGGTAACACTCACACATAACTTACCTCACATACCTTAACGGTACCAGAAACAATCAGTCCATGGGATACCGTTTAATGTTCACTTTTCTGTTTGCGTAGTGTCACTTCAGTATTGAAGCTACGTCAAGACTTTTCAGCATTATCCATACTCGTCTGCGGTCGATATTTATCACCCTGGTAAGATGATTATAAATATAGGTGATGCAAGTAATGTGTGCAGTCAGCTGATGAGTTTGTCATTCAGATAATAAGAATGTATGACATCAAATGCTTTTAGGATGAAAATTTGCCTTAGATTGTGTCTTTGGCATCAAGTGTGGACCTTGTTGGTTTTCTGTTGCTGTGCGCATCATCGCTAGAAAAACATTCAGATACATAACTCCTGAGCACGTTTTGACGGCGTACTTTCGATCCGCATTGTTGTAATTATTCGCTATAGTAGCATTAGTGNCGTTGGTGGTAGGCCGTATCACTGCCACCCGGCTCAATACCGTGTCTTTGCTCTCAGGCTTTTTTGTGGTCTGCCACTCCGAGTCCCAGGGCTTAGGTTGCCGGTTTATCTCCACTACTGTTGATATAATGTGGGTAAACCATCTGTATCCCCTAACCACCGAACAGGTGATAGCTGCTTCCGGCAATTACTCTTCAACATAAACACGATTATGCCTACGTTTAACAAAAGATAACCGTTGTATTATGCTTTATATTCCCCTCACGTTCACGTACACACTTTCTCTGCCATTTGTGGTCGCATTCATAGTCGAAACGATCCTGGGGAAAGACACATACGACTGGATTGAGGAAACCAGCGCTATGATGACTGAACGAAACCGTTGGTGGTCCACATTACTGCGC